GGAATTGGTCCCCTGAAGAACTTTTCTAATTCCCTTGTAAAATCTACTAATATAATTCCTCCCTATTAACGTCTCATTTGAACGGAACTGTGAAAGGGATTTATCATGGGTGATCTGTTCTCTGGTTTTGCCCTCGTTGCGTGCACGTATTTTGAGGCGTCTAAAGGGTCTTTGTCCGAAGCTACATAGATTACTAGCAATAGTTTTTCTACTTCTTATTTATTAAATCCAGCCAATCATTCCTAATGGTTAGGTTTTCCTTAGGTTCTCATTCCAACTAATTCTACCGAATCATGTTTATGTGTTTTTCCTATTTATGATTGATAAGGGCTTTTTTTAAAAGCTTAATTTATATAATAAAAAATAATTTTATTTTATACTTATATTTATGCATTTTATATCAATGTGACCTAAATTTAAAGTATTTTACTCTAACGAACGGCAAAAATAACTAATAAACTGCTTTAACTTGATGAAAGATGAAATGAGGCAACATTTGTTCTTTCTTTCTATTTTAAAAATTTTAAGCTTTGCACAATATTTTCTTATAGCATGGGATTTGAAAATTAGTAAATTGTATATTTACAATATTTTGTGTAATATAATTTGACATTTACTAAATACGTAATTAAATAATTAAAATTTTTAAGTAATATGTAAATTATATATATTTATTCATATAATATTATGTCCAATATTCCATATCCATCACGATTTCCAATGTTAAATTAAATTGCATCACGTAACTAAATAATTTAATTAAATGGTTGCAGTATTCTTGAAAGCTCACTGCTTGATTTGATCATAGGCAAACAAATGTTATTATTATGGTGGCCGCCTGGCCGGTGAGAGATAAGAACAAAATGGCAATTATATATAATTTAAGACTGAAAACTTTGTAATAGATTAAGATAACAATATAATAAAGGAATAATCTTTGTAGACATGAGGAGACCATATCTCAGTAGAATATAAACAAATCCTTCAATCATTCTCAGCATAGAATACTTAATCATATTGTCCTTCTTTCTCTAATAAATCCAACCGTACACTATCTTTTTTTCTATTTTAAATACATTCTTTTGTCTTCCTATAAATTATATGAGGAAAAAATTAATCCCCACTAGGCTTTTCTTTTCTCTAATCATACAACTATATTGTTTTTTAATACCCAACAAAAAAACAACAGTATTGTTTTTTATATAATAAAAAATAAATTAATGATAATTATTTCTACACTTGCTCTCGCAAATACCTAATTAGTGGCAAAAGTGAAGTTTGCTTAAATAGAGAAAAGTCAAAGGAGGGAAAGGGATGGATACATGTATACAGACATAAAGACAAGAAAACTTTTCATACCAAATATTTTGGTTGCAACAAGACAAGTGTATTATGTCACTAGTCTTTTTCATAGACTTAAAAGTTTGGGAAATGAATGCAAGTTGAATTTTCTTTTCAGTCTAACCATATAACCCGGTTACAAACTTTCATAAAAATGAAAAAGAAAAGGCATAGATTAACAGTAACATACTGCTCTCTCTCTCAAAATAATTTTTAGTTTTTAACTTTAAGTTTGTTTTAAATTGATATTAATATTATTTTTTTAAAAATAAATAAATATTTTTTTACTTTAACTCTATCATTATTAATTTATTTTAATTAAGTATCTTATTACAAAAAATTTTATCTTATCTTTTAATTTTTTTCTAAGGTAAATACATAAATGATCTCAAAATCCTCAATTTAGAAAAAAATTTGAAAAATGATAGTTATTATGGGACAATGGAGTCCAATATTATGCCCCAAATCTTATGTCGAAGAAAAAATTAATTTTTTTAATGGTATAATAAGAAATAATTTTTTTAATTTATCCTAATTGTATATTATGCAATTTAAACTTAAAATCTTTTATTTTTATTAAAAAAAATTACTTCACTGAATTATTTTAATAGTTGGCCAAAAAAATTTGATTATGAGTAATATATGTGTCAAATTTAATCCTTACAAATAATTTGATCTTGAACTTTTTAGGGTCATGCATCCAAGCCAATATTGGGAAAATCGGGGTCATCAGTTGGAGCTCTAATTAAGGCTGACTACATTTGTTAAGGACAACATGTTTAACTTGAAATATTAACCTATTAGATTTAGCAGTTTCTACATGTGCACTTTGCCTCATTCTTACCATATCTTCCATATATATGGGAGACTTATCTCACTCACGCATGAAACCCCAAATATCTCCCTTATTCACTTGTAAGTTGCAATATGAGCTTACCAAAAATGTTTGAGTGCAACAAGATCACTCTTACATACTCTTCAATAAGTCCAATTCCCAAACTCTTAGGATTACACAATTTTTCATCCATGGGCTGATAGCATAACCTATGTGTTTTCGATCCATATGAGTCTTCAGTTGTGTGACACAACTCATAAGATCCAAATTTATCTATGAGAATACTCATTTATGGAATTTCATCACACACTCACTTTTATTTGTCAAGCCCAAATTAAATCACCTTTAACTCTAATACCAGTGTTGGGGAGAACAACCTATGAGAACTCTCACGAACAAGGTCCAATGCATATATTTCAACACCATCTTGAAGTAAAAAAAAACTAGTTTACTAATTAAGTTATGGTATTTACTTTATTCTCATTGCATCTCTTTGAAAGTGAAAATCATCACACTCACATGAGAACCTCTCAACAATCTTCTTTGTTCACTTGCAAGCCACATTAGTTCCTCGTGACTATAATAGTACACTTCATTGCACACCCTACCATGGACTCAAGGAAAAACTTAGAGATTCCATAGTTTCATCAAAGGACCATACACAACATAACTCGTGGGATGCACACCACACACTTGCTTACTTGCTAGGTACACGGTTCCTTAAAAATCAGCTTAGAATCAAATTAGGAAATCAAATCTCATTCAAACTCTAAATTCTCATGAAATTCAAGGAATAACACTCAACACTCAACAACCCAAAGAGTTGTTAAGTTAGTAGAGATATTGGTTTGAGTTCTTTTAACTAGTATTAGAGAATTATTATTCACCAAAAGTCCCTCAAAGATAAATGTCAAAACTTCAATTCAAATAGTTTAAACCCTTGGTCCAATGAGGGTATGCAATGAACTGTGGTTGCATTGTTGGCTTATAGCCTAAAATCTCACATCAATGGAAGTAAATCATGTTGTGGGTGTACGTGAGTCAACTACTTTGATTATGACTTTCCTTGATGAGGGAGATTGTAATGTCTAAATCTTATAGTAGAGAAAAAGTATTCAATTCAAGTCATGTCAATAACACCATTTTCCACCCAGAGTACATAAGGTTCATGATTAGGATGTCAACAAGTTGAGACGGGAATGAGGCCGTAAAGTTGCAAGTAAGTTGGGTAACTTATGAGTTGCTCAATCTTAACTCAAACTGTTTTACATGATGAGCCGAGATTAAGTCAAGTTTTTTATTTTTTGTTTTTGTACAAAAAGGAAATTGCACTTCATAAATTAAATCTGACTATAAGTAAATCTGACTAAGTAATTCGATACAAAAAAGATCTAGCTATATCATGGGAAAATAAAGCCAGACAACAATTAGGTACAAAATCAAAAACAGTCAGGGTTCCTTCATTTCAGCACCATCTGGAATACATTTGCCTTCATAACGAACATACTAGGTTTGTAGCTCACTGAGAGGTCGGATCAACCATCTGCAGCATTGATCAAGGAGGATCGAACATTGTTAGCATAAGATAAATCAGTAAGAACACAGATAGGCCAAAGCAGAGTCAGTTTCAATAATGAGTATCCTATTTCCTCTTGCAATACCTAACTCAAGTCCAATCTTTATTGCCCAAAAGTCAGCTTCATTATTAGTGCCAATTCCAAGGCAAGCAACATATCTCGTGATCCAATCATGAAAGCCGAGTTTGGAGATACTAGACTTGTACGTAACCTTGCGAGTACCTCAAAGAAACAGAATTCTCATTCTTTTGTTATGAGATTTTATCTTCCATCATAGGAAAGGGAAAAAGAATGCTTTCAGGAGGAGAAAGACCTTTTCTTGTGATTGATCTGAGGAAAGTGTGACATCTAATCATGTCATAAGATCAAACGGTAATGGTGGCTCGAGCTCAAATATAGGAACCTCTCATAGCAGATAACCCTGATTGCCATCAATCAAACCGAACTTTATTGGGGCGAGGGAGCGGGGGGGTGAGAGTGGTCCAGTCCAAACCACAAGAAGACGACGTGACGAACAAGGGTCGGTGGCCCGGCATGCTGCCACACGAGTAAAGTAAACAATCGTCAAAAAAAATTTTTTTTTAAAAAAGGGAAAGGATAATTATTTTTGAACGTGCGAGCTTCCACTTCGTGTCGAGTTGAATATGACCGAAGCATGTAAATTTAAATTTTATTTAATATAGTTGTGATTTTTAATTTTTAATTTTTAAATAATTAATAATTATTTCTTCTGTTTATTGATAGTAGATTTAATTTAATTTTTAACTTTTTTAATTATAAATTTTAGTTTAAATTTTAACAATTGATATAAATAATAATTGAAAAATTATTTTTCTTATATAAAATTCTTGTCAAGTATTTTTATTTGTAAAAAAATTTTTGATTATAAGTTATATAATATGTTAAATTTTTATTTAAAATTCATTTATGTTTAAAAAATTAAAAATTTAAATTAAATTTACTAAAAATAAATAAAGAAAATAATTTATATTTAAATTAAATTTAATAAAACTGAATTTTTATAATAATTTTCATTTCTTAATATAATAATAATTACTAAATATATAAAAAAATAAAAATTTAAAATCCAAAATCAAAACTATATTAAATAGAGCTTTAGATTCATGAAAACGTTTTGAATTAGATCAAGTTATTATTCACTAATTTGACATATATAGAGAAATCAAATAAATGGTTAAAATTTATTTATCATTTATTTTATTTTTTAAATATAATTGTTATTATTATCTAAAAAAACTATAATAAATTTGAATCACATAATTTTTATGTAAGCAAATGTAAATAATGTATATCAGAAATGTGTGCAGCTAGACATTGACTATAAAACTTTATTTACACCTAACAAGGTGTGGAGTGTAGGCTGTAGCTGAAAATTTGCACATGCCCTGTGTTTGACCTCTTTGCTCTTTTGCCGGGTAGTTGAGATACGATTCAAAGATTTGTCGACTTTAGCCATCACCTTTAGCCAGGGGTCATTCAAATAACTTTGATTTCAAGAAATGATGGATTCGACATCCCTATTATTTCTCGCCAATAATAGCTTTGTGAACCCTTCAAAGCTTAAACCATTAATAATATCAACTTGATACAGAATAAGCTATGATACAAGCTAGTGGATACAAATTCTACTCAAAAATACCTCTAGGGCGTTTCTGAATTGTTCATCACAAACTAGTTGCAACCAATAGTAGCTTAGAACAAAATGATACTTATTAATTTAAAAATTTTATTTTAAACTCAAAATCAAGATTTAAATCTTTATAATGTTGAGCAATTAACTTCAAACAACACGAGTTTGGTTAAATCAGTATTCACTAAAAGACCATAATTTGAAAGTTAAGGTTAATTATTCAACTCCTTGCAATGACAAGTTACTAACTCTTGACATGGTAGAAAGAAAAAAAAAAAACACGAACTAGTTTTCAGCCCTAGACAGAGAGAAATTACTGATACAATGATACTATGTCATGGCAGCTACAACAATTGAGTTTAAACTGAAATTACAGGAAGATTAATTTATACGACATAGCGGTAGGTTACATATCGACCAGCAGTCTCACTGGGACGGATGATCTTCACGACCTGTCCACGCTTGAGCCCATAGTATCTTGCAATTGGATCACTCACCTGCATACGCGGGAGCTGCACTCCAATCCATAACTTAAAAATATTAAAAACTGCTAGGACTTGCAACTGAAACTGAATATAGGCATGCATAATACTGAGATCCCAAAATCATGTATTGGCAGTGATATTTCTTCTATAACTTTGCAGGTAGCAGAAGCAGAATTTACAAGGCAGGTACTCTACATGATACAACATTCAAGCCGTTGGCAAAACTAATAGCAGCATTTTCCTCGTATGCATTTCAGGTAGCTTCAAAACTAAAACATGGCACTGTAAGTGGACTAGCTTTGTTGCTTTCTCAGTATGTGTCAGTTTCAGAATATTTTAGACACATAATTTCTAGTCATACATATCACAGAACATGTCTTGAACAATATGCAGTGCTCAAAGTTTATACAACATTAACATCTTATCAATAATTTACTCGAATTCAGCTAATTTACACAAAAAGCTTCACGTGAACCTAGGCAACCATTGTTTCCTAGGAGCAACCAACCAAGAAGATGCAAACAAATCACGTAGTTTGTTCCATCCTAGCTAGCACCCTAATCTGAAAATGCATTAATTCTAGAGAAAATTTTGACATTCTGACAATGATCTAATTAAAAATTGAGCAATAGCTCAAGAGAAGATACATGCCATGTGCAGAACAAAGCAACAAAATTAGAGCTTACAACCTAGCCTCTAGGATAATTAATGCTGACCTGTGTTTCCTTCACAGTATATCTTTGAAGTAAAGTCTTTTTCTCTTCAGATGTAAGCACCTGATGCTCAGGAACAAGAACATGCTCTTTTATGTTGACTAGCAGCTCTGCCTCCTGAATAATTTTGGTTAAAAGTAATATAAGTATCAAGAGAAGATAATCACGTGTTATCAAGAGAACATCAATGTTAAAACACGTAAGTCAGACTGAAAAGAAACAAGTGAAACTCTTAAAATATGTTTTTCAATTACTTTTGCTCTATAAGTGGGAGGCATATCAAGTGCTGCCACTAACAACTTTTTTTTACCAATCAACCATTAAATAAAGAACTAAATAATACACATATATAACTACCCCCCTTAGTTGATATTTTGATTCAAGAATATGTTATTGAAACGAAAATCTTCACAGAGAGAGAGAGAGAGAGAGAATTTCTACAACAAAACATTATATTATCACAGGAACCAGGAATGCAGTCTATCAAATTAGTCTGTATGGGATTTTGTTAAAAGAAGAACATACCAAGCAGCCCATCAGAATAGATTCAGTACAAGCACATTCTTGATTACAAAAATAGTGTATAAGCATAATAACAGCTAAAGTCAAACACTGTAAGATTTTGTAGTTCTGATATTATAAAAGCAAGTAACAGACTTGACCTGGAAAACTTCCAAAAGAAATTTTGCAGATATTTCATTTATACATGTCCGAGCAAAAGGAGTCAAATTCTGTTGAACAACCAATATTGCTCTGAAGACATTCTCACTTTTCATGCGGTTGGTATAAGTCTTGATCGTCTTCACACCAACCTTAGCCTCATCAGGAAAGAAAACATAGATCTGGTATACAAAATAAGCCAACAACCATTATGGGACAGATGTTAGAAATAGAGAGCTAAATGCATGGGCAGATTGCCACTATTCAATTTTTCATGCAAAAACTGGTTACCTGATCAGAACTATCATTTCGCTTAGCTTTATTTATCACCAGATCCTCCCTTTTCATGTTCTCACCATATTTAGAAATGAACTGTGGCAAGGTCATGTTTATTTCAAAGTCTCCAACAAAATAACCCCTATCCTTAAGCATCTGCATTACTGTCTTGCGGATCACCGAAAGCCTCTTGATTTCAGCATCTGATAAAACCATCTTTACCTCCCTGGTAGAGTTTTCAAAAATCGTCAATCTGAACAAGAATTAATTGACAGTCAATTAAAGATGGAAGCATATAAGCAAGTTGTGACTAGGAAAACAAAAAATCAGCAAATGTGTTTTAACTTGATCCCGATTTTATCCATGTTAACCAAGCCCTAGAACCCCACTTTCTTGCCAGTTAATCAAAAAATATAAACCACAGATCTCATCTTTTGTATGCTTCTGTATGAGACACTCATTTGTTTTCCTCTTTAAACAAGGAGAGGACAAAAAAAAATTCCTAGAAAACAAATAGAATTTCAGGAAAGACAAACAATTTTATTAAAACATTTTATTAATGTTTTTTATAACTTCAATTTTGTTTTATTTTTTAGCATTTTCCTTTTTAATAAAGCTTCTATTCTTGGTGTATATATATATATATATATTATCAATTTCCCATGTCTCCTTTCAATATATATTTTACCAATATCCTCTTTTAATCTCTCCAATTCTAGATTTTTTTTATATAACTTAAACTTTTTTAAACCTTAAAATCCCTTATTCTCTTCTTTTTCTTTTCTTTTTTTTTTTTCAAATTCACTTCTTGATTTTCCTTTTTATGTACTATTTAATCCCCTTTTTTTGTTATCACTGATTTCTTTAAGATTTTATTCTTATATTAATCCATGAATTAGAAGAAATTTGAGAATCTACCCAATTGCAGTATCCCAATTGCCAAACCACTTTACCATCATGGAACCTATTATTAAATTCAAGTCTCATTAGTCATATTCAAATTATTTCTTAAACTTCTTTCTTTCTATTCTATTCAAAAGCTGTTCTTTCTGTCTCTTTCATTTCATTCTTTCACTCTCAGATTCATGTTCTCTCATCATTCTTTTTCTCAATTGCTAGTCCTCATATTCCCTCGGATTTTCTCTCATTTTTATCCCTTTGAATTTCACTCTACTCCTCCCAAAGTTCTCCTCTTGGTTGTAATCCAACCAAAATAGGCTAAGTTTTCCATCAAACATGATAGCTCAACCAAACCAAACAGTACAACATATATCAACACTGTATAACACCAATTTAACAAGTTCAGAACAGCTCCAGAATTTCATCCATAATTTCCCTTAATTTGGCTCAAATCAAACTTATTTCTACATCAAAACTCAAAATCTAAATAACAACTCACGGTTAATACAAAGTTTTGTCAATGAAATAAAGCAGAGATCCATCGTATTTCCTTTTTGTATCAAAGAACAACAAATTCCTCCTCTGAATATTGGCACAGAACAGCCTAAGCTATGAACAGTTTCAAATTAACACATCCAGCTATAAACACAAAGAGATATAGAAAACAGAGATTGAATCCACTGTAACGAAAACCGCAGTGTGAGATGTAGCCTTAGGATCGATTCTCCCCCTAAAACACCGAGTTAGAGAATGGAAATACCTCTAATTGGAGTTGAGAATAACAATTTCTTCGATCAATAGAAACAGATGCAATCAGGTGCTTTCCCTTCTCCTTCAGCTACCGAGCTTCCTTCTTCCTTCTACGTTTTCTTCTTCTTCTTCGAATCTCCCTCGTATTCCCAGGCGGCTAGGGCTCTCCCAAATCCAAATCCTAAACACCTTCGTTCCGTCGATTTTTCCCTCGGCGGTTGTTTTATTTTATTTTATTTTATTATTTTATTATTTTTTGGTTAAACCCCAATTTGGTTGTTCAACTATTGTACGACCTCCGATTGGGTCCCCAAACTAAAAAAATCTCTGTCTGATCCTTACTATTTAGTAATTTAACCTCAAGTTGGTTCTTTTGTACAAAAATAACTAACGTGTCTCATTATTAACATGACGCATGACCATTAAGTAATGGTTTTTTCTGTTAAATAATGTATATGTTAGTTATTTTTCAATAGAAGGACTAATTTGGAGCTAAATTGATAAATAGTATGGATTAAATTAAAGATTTTTTTGGTTCAAGAACCAAATCGATGATCCATATAATAGTTGAGGGATCAAATTAAAGATTTAACTTCTTTTTTTCACTAATTAATATTGAAAGTCACATCACACCTAAATTAATTTAAAGTCAAATTGAGTTAAGAAACTTGATTTTTTAAAATAAAATTTTGAATTAAAATCTTATAGATAGAAAAACAAGCGTTAAAAGAGTTTTTCCTTATAGTATCTGACATGATTCGATTTTATATTAATCAAAATTTAATGTAATTTTTAAATATCAAAAAATTAATACCAAAACAATAAAAAGTCAAATTTCTTAATACTTATTTTTTTTATTTATAAAAATTAAACTCGAACTGAGGAGTGATATGTCGTTATTATTTAATGTTATTTTATATATTACTCCCTGTGCTGTGCTCTCAGCTAAGAAGGCTCCGTCAAAATGGACTGGAAGTATATTTGGATGGGCCATGGCCCAAGACTGAGAAATGCAAGCTCAATGATCTTAGTGAGTTTTTCCTTATAGTATTTGACATAATTCGATTTTATATTAATTAAAGTTTAATGTAATTTTTAAATACCAAAACAATAAAAGTTAAATTCCCTAATACTTATTTTTTTTATTTATAAAAATTTAACTCGAGATTTAATACGAGTGATATGTTCGTTGGTTATTTTATGTTATTTTATATATTACTCCCTGTGCTCTGCTCTCAGTTAAGAAGGCTCTGTCAAAATGGACTGGAAGTATATTTGGATGGGCCATGGCCCAAGACTGAGAAATGCAAGCTCAATGATCCTAATTATTACAAAGAATCGGGCCATATTCAGGTCCATTTTCTCGTATTTAACTGTATTGGTTAAACACTGCTATATGAGAGGTGCATACCAAAGTTAAGTATTTGGTACGAGGATCTATACTTATTTACTTAACTTCTATATCTAATCTATTCATCGGATTTGTTTATGTGTCTTATTACTCCTGTATACCAACATGGAAGCTCAAGATTTTCGTTGTATGATTGTATGCACGAGTAGTTTGATAAATGTTTAGTGTGAGCAGGTCATGATTGTTTATGGTGCAGAATGCGATAGAATTTAAGTGGGGTACGATAGGCTAGAGAATTCATAGCTGAGGATTGGGCAAATTGCATCTCATCTTTTAAAAAGTCTTTTCAGGTTTTTCTATTTTCATACCACATCTCATTCTTTGATTTGGTTTCGTGATCCTTCTCTATTGCAAAAGATGAAATCCATTTCCATTGCGTGCAAAGTCAAATTCCACCAGCATGTTTTTCAATGCCAAGCACTCGCTGTCTCGCATGATTTTCTGCTCACAAAAGTCTTCCATTATGTTGCAGTGTTTTAGACTAAATCATGATGAGAAAACTTGAACTTTCTAAAATTCCTCTCATGTCACATTCACTCACTTCCACACAAAGAATAATTTCCATCTTATTTTATTTTATTTTGTAGAAAGTAGAGCTATATCAATAATTAAAACAATTACAATATAGACTATATCTTGCCATATAAGCTATGTGTGAAATATAAATAAGGTAAGAAGGACTGATGCACTAACATATAGAGCTAAATATTCCTTACAAATATAACAATTAGGAACTAAGAACCTCTAAATACTAGTATACGTCAAAGGAATATCAATTGAGTTATTTAACAATATAGAAATATTACTCTGGAGCTTTACTATCGCTATTGGTAGTCACATCTATTTTACCATCCAAATCCAGCACGAGAGATCAGATTAGAGGACTTGGAGGTGTAATGTCTCCTAGCACCACAATGCTTTGTCTAAACTTAAGTGGTCTACTAGCTAGTAGATGAATGAAAGAAAACATCTGCCTGCATTGCAAAGGTAATCCCTAAGTTGTCAAACAATACCTTTGATGCTCTTTCATCCTCCATTCCTTGCTGCATATTTTTCCTTTTCCCCCTTATATCTTTGTTTAAGCTATGGGTAGATACAAGGTTCCTATCAACTCTTTTCCAACTTCCATGACTTGAAGCCATTGATTTTCCTCTTTTAGAGGATGCTGTAACTTGTCACACGGGTATCTCTATAAGCTGGAGGTTAAGAGCATGGTCCACGTTTTCAATCATTTGTTCTACAGGTCCATTCTCCTTCATAATGTCCTTCTCTACTTCTTGGGTTTGACAAACTTGAAGAGAAGGTGCTCTGCTTGACTCCTCCCTCACCATCAACCTTTTGTTTTCCATCTTATTAGTCTCTGCTTCTAATTCTTTACTTATTTGGTTTATTTCATCTGAAAGCTCCAAGTTTTCCAAATCCTCTAGACCCTAACCATCAACTTTTACTCTCAACCATGGCCCATAAAACTTTGTTATTTTGTAGTTAGCTTCCTTCAAATAGAAGCCAATCTCACACTCTACTTCAATATGCCATATGCAACCACAAACATAACAAAACTCTAGAAGTCGCTCATACTTGATTCTTACCTTTTTTTGTCTTAGTTTCGATCATCTTGATGGTTGAGGATCTTAGTAGAGGCTTACCATTGGAAGATTGACTTGAACTCAAAGGGATTTTTGTAATTCTCATCCACCTTAAGAACCAGTCCAACTGAACTACCTACAAGTCTGCCCACCCTCTCTAATCTTAATCTCATTGGTAATCTGTGAAGGTGAATTCAAAATGGATTGGTATTGAAATCATGTTGTTCTAGCTCAAGAGTTACTAAAACCTTCTTTAGAATAACAAAGGAGTTGCAAAAGTTCCATGGAGCTTTTTGCAAAATCCTATCTAGATCAAATCTATCAAAAAATGGAAATAAGAAAATTTTCTCTCCAACCTCAGTGATCTTCACCTCTTGTGCTAGTTTCCATGAAAGGTTCACGGCGCTAGTGAAGCCCATAAGATTAATCCTTTTCTTGGTAAGAACGTTGCCTAGCAAACACGAATCCTCCTTACTATTCATCGATGAGTTCCATTCATGAACTAAGGAAACTTTCCCTCCTTCTCCAATGGACAAACAAATGTTATTCAGTAATAAACCAAGATCTTCCTCCATTGGATTTGTTGTGCTATTCGAAACCACCATCAAAGTCAAAATCCTTTTAGCCGTCCTATGCAAATGCTAGAATGACACCAGGCTTCAAACCTTGATCGCAAGATGTAGATTGGCAATGAAAAACCAAGACTAGCCGCAATCTAATATGATGAATCAAATGGTTAAATAAAAAAATAAAAAATAAAAAAAGATTAGATTAGATATGCTGATAAATTAAAAATGAATTAGGGGAGAAAAGAAACTCCTCCAAAGGAAGAGAGATCCCAAAAGAGGTAACTCACGACAAACTCTAACCCAAGAGAGAGAGGCGCCTAGGAGTTTTTTCATTTCCATCTTATTTTACGATTTACAAATATCGTCCAAATAATCCTCAATCAAACTTCCATTATGGGAAATACTAGGAGCTAGCATTAGTTTCGCCCTAGTAATGAGTAATGATTTTTAATGCTAAATTTTAAGATAAAATTTTGAAACTAATTTATGGTAATTATTAAGGCCAAAGCCTCTATTTGCACCCTCCATTTAATTCTTTTCCGTGGTCAACACTTTCCAAAATTTTTCCTCCCTATTTACACCCTCAACTTTGAAAAACCTGTGAAAAACCCAATATTGTAACTCACCGTCACGGCACCGTTAATAATCGTTAAAAATTGTAATACATGGCATCAAACAGTAACATGAATGTTATGTCATCTTATTAATCCAATGTGGACTTTTTTTTTTTATGATATGGCATAATTAAACCATAATTAATTTTAATTTCTTCATTTTCTTCTTTCCCGCATCTTCTTTACCATCTTCCTCTTCATCCTCCTGGGTTCCTCATGGAACCAGGAACCCAGGACTTTATGTCACATTTATTAATCCAATGTTGGACTTTTTTTTT